TGAGCCCGTCGCTGAGCCCGTCGCTGAGCCCGTCGCTGAGCCCGTCGCTGAGCCCGTCGCTGAGCCCGTCGCTGAGCCCGTCGCTGAGCCCGTCGTTGAGCCCGTCGTTGAGCCCGTCGTTGAGCCCGTCGTTGAGCCCGTCGTTGATGAGCCCGTCGCTGAGTCCACCATCGAACCCGTGACTGAGAAGCAAAGCGAGGCTCAAGAGGTTGAAGAGACTACCGACGGAGCGGAGCCTGAGGCCGTCAAGGAGGATTCTACTGAGACAGCAGCAGAGCCTGAGGTCAATGGTGTGGTCAGCAGCAGTGGCGAGGTGGACCAATCTCTGACTGGTGAAGAGGAGGCCGCTAAGGTTGAATCCGAACCAGTAGCCTCTGAGAAACCCAAGGCGGAAGAGTCTGCCCCTGTTTCTAATGGCGACTCTTCGGTTGAGAAAGACGTCGATCCTTCCGCTCAGCCCGTTCCTCCTTTTCAGGATGCCACTCCCGAGCCCACCGTAGAGTTCGCCAAGGACTCAGAAGAGAAAGACTCGATTGTGACTCCTGAGCTCGTTGGAGCTGGTGCCGCAGCTGCCATCGCTGCCGGTGCTGTTGTTGCTGGAGTCGCTTCCAAGTCTCACAAAGAGCCCGAAGTCGTTGCTACACCTAAGGACAATGTGGACGCCAAGGAACCGTCTCAGCCTAATGACGGCAAGCAGGAAACTTCCCACCTCGTACCTGCAGCCCAGGCCGCCGACAATAAGCACACGGAATACTCCACTTCAAAGGACATGTCCACACCCGAGCCTGAAAGTGATCCTGCTCTCGCAGCACTTGCTGGCGACCGCGAAGCTCTCCTCCGAAAGCTGGAGTTGCCATCCACTGAACAGTTGCCTGCGGAACCTACTTCGTCCACCAGCGATGACCAGGTTGCGAAGCCAGCCGGTCACGACGAGCGCGCTCCTGCGTCTACCGACGGCCCCTCCATCGCGACCGAGTCTTCTGCTCCTACTGAGGGCGATGCCGGCAAGGCAGTTGCCCCCAAGAACAACGAGGAGCCTCGTTCTCCCAGTCAAAATCGGTCAGTCACTGCTGTTTCCTTGAACCATAAGCGAGACAGCTGGTTGAGGACTATTTTGCGTGCCGTCTTCGGCAATTTCTTCGGCGCCATCTTCTCGCCCTTTCGCCGTGGTGGAAGGACGAACCAGTAGATGGTCGCTCCTACCGCTTGTCCGAGAAATAATTTCGCTCTACAGAGTCTCTGAACTCCAGGAGTGATCAAATAATCGCTTAATCATTGTCATTGCCAAAGCTAATGAGATTCAGGAACCTGTTCTTGATGACCGTTTTCGCTGCACCCTTGCTGGCTATTATTTGGCGTGCATATACCCGATAAGTTCTGAATCTGTTCAAAAATTGATTATCGCCGCTCATTTTTACTCGACTCGATTCCCCTGTATTTGATATTTGTGGATTTCGCTCTCAATTTGTTAATATTATTTTCCTTACTCTACTCTCTAACCGTCGCAACTCTCTCACAACCTTGGAAGGCTGTCTGACCTTGGTAACAATCGATATGACTGGCCGGAAGTTTGCGGTTGATGTGATCGTCTGCCAGCATGTAATGATGTTTATGTTTGATGATTATGATGAATGAATGAAGAATCGATTTTCAAAACGATGCTCCTCACTATAGAATATCAAGCTACTCTCGTAAACTGCATTACCCCCGCCTCAGCCAGGATTAGTTTCTTCTAGATTCGATCAGTGCCTGGCCGTTACCCTTACAATGTACAAGAAGGTACCAACATCTGCAGTCCAGTTAGCATTAATGTCTGTCAAGGTTTTCAGACATAGGTAGTCTCCTTCCACAAGCAGACTTCCCTGACGGCGTAGTTTGTTACATACATCTGAGAGAGGAGCACCAAGTACCTCCTTGACCTGTCCCTATCAATGATATCGCCCTCTTCGACCTGGACTGGATTATCAACTTTCTCAGTCACTACAAACAGATAATGTTCCTATAGTAGGAATACAGCAGTGTAGCTTCGGATAATCCACAAGAGGCTGAGCCTGTACCAAGTGTGCGTATTCTAAATCCATGCCTTCCTTGCCTGTATACAGACTCGCTATGAAGCGGCAGCCTGTTCAATCACGGCTTCTACTTGGGGATGGTTACATATACTTTAAGAAAAGAACCGGGTGGTCCTAAGCCTGATATCATTCTGCCTGCCAGAGAGAAAGAGACAAATGGTCAAAGAATCTAGGTACATGTTGCAATTCACGCTGAGCTCCTGAGTGACGTCTGCTCCTCAGGCGCTAGCAAGCACCAGCACCAGGACCAGCAACACAAACAAGAAAACACCACTGAGCAGATAATCCGTGAAGTTCTGTTTACTTGCTAGACGCGCGGTGCTCGCACACAAAAGTGAGATCTCAAGCGAGCCCAAACACCCTCCCAAGCATCCTAGCTTACCATCGATCAATCTCTCTTCATATCCATAGCAACACTTCCATAATTCTTCCACCTTTGCTCTTATTCAACCATCGTGATAAGCAACAAGGCTTCTGATATCACTGCTCGAGAACCTTTTGAAAAGAAACTGCCTACTACTTCTGCTACGTTGCCATGGCTTCGCAGAGTGGAAACGCGTGGGCGCAGATGAAGGCTCAGGAACAAAAGCAGCAGCAGCAGACTCTCAACACCAACTTCGATAAAGGTAAGCAAGCATCCAGTATCTCCTCGACGGGGGTCCACGAATGCTTTTCCCTGAAGACGGAAGACCTTGGTGCTAACATGCTTGTTTTGTTGTAGTCGCTCAGCAGCAGACTACCAGCTTCGACAAAGGTAAGCAAGCATCCAGTATCTCCTC